TTTATTTATTTATTTATTTATTTATTTATTTATTTATTTATTTATTTATTTATTTATTTATTTATTTATTTATTTATTTATTTATTTATTTTTCACGCATCTATGTATTAAGACTTTACTGGACAGAAGGCGGACTGGACAAGATAATGTCAGTTACCATTGACCTTGGTTCTTATGTGGTTACCGAGGAATACTCAGGACAAGCATTTATACTGCCATTCAGTATAGCTATAAATCAGGTGAGTTAAGAAATGACAGATGTAGTGATAACTTAACATTCTGGTGTAATATTCAGCATGTAAAATATGTGGTGTTACTTCAAGGGCGGCAGTCGTCGCGCCGCGTCCTGTTCGATATGGGACTCATAGCGACGTATACAACAAGTGTAAACTACATTTATTTACATGAAATTCGAACACGCGCTGCGCGACGACCACCGCGCTTTAAATTGACATCTAGCCTGGAATCCAGCCAATCGGTGTGCCCTTCCCAGAGCACTGAAAATGGCCTTGTGAATCACTTCGTAAATGCGTAGACGGCAAAGAATTTTGTATCGTCGCTGATCGGCTGTTTCAGTATATTACCATGTGAACTCGCATGTGCAGACTGATTCGTACGTGAGGCCTGCCAAAAGCCTTCCGGACATATTCACTAGACTATTACTTATTCATAGAATTGTCAAAGTCTCACCGTGACGATCAAAAACGAGTATCTATTCTTAATGACACTTTATGCTGGTTTTGTTCTGTTATCGTACAAAGGAGCCAATCAGCGACAGCGGTACAAATGGATAACGAATTCAGTTTCAAATACTAGTACCCCGGGAAAGTGTTCTGAGTCGTGTAATGAGACGTTCGTATGTAAGGGATTTTCCACCCAGAAACGACGTGTGCGATCGAATTTTATTATCGGTTGGCTTAATTTTTACCCCCATGGTTTGGCATTGAAAAATCACCATTTTCTCCTGATTTGGGGAAACAGCCGGTTTCTCCACTTGTCTCTTAAAGCGGGGGAGTCGTCACTTACGCATGCGCATGGTCATAGCGTGTCATTGTTTACAAACAAGCGTCTACCCATGAGCCTTTACGATTTTAGCGTGTGATGTTATCGTCGCTTGGGACCCAATTCCCGCGAGTGCGCAGGTGACGACCCTCCCGCTTTAAAGAGCGGCAGTCGTCGTGCCGCGTACTGTTCGATATGGGACTCATACACCCTACGCATTTGTTGTGGAGTTATTTACACATATCCCATATCTCGCAACAGTGATCCGGATCACAACCAAAATGCCTTTTTTTTCAGAGCAATCCGTCCATAACTTTTCCCCCCGGAATTTTGCTAGCAGAAAAAAAAAACAACGCTTTCGAAAACATAACTTTATCAGCAGAGGTAATAACTGCACAACCAAAACAAAGTTGTCTATTTGAAAGACAGAAGCTTATTACATCCGGCATCATTTGTCTCTCAGAGGCATGCCTCGACGCTAGATGGCGCAACATATGTATTGATATATAATATATAAATAATATCCTTATCCACAGTTATTAAAGTTTGAAAATATAGAAAAAAATACTGAAAATCAATCGACAAATTACACCACAATTGTTTAACAAATTGAGAAATAATCTACTAGAAAAAAAAAACTTTAAAAAAATCAGCTTTTTACCATGATCTGTTTCAGAATAATTACTTTGTGGGAGACCATTGGGAACAGAAACTGTATATATTTAACAGATCCGATCCCAATATCATCAAAGGTTTTACGATTTCCAAACGACGACCGCTTGGTATGTCATACTACTCGGAATGGAGACAACAGTTTATGGATGGTGAGTTGGGTTATACATTTACTGCATGGTACAGTCTTTATCTGCCACGAAAAATGTGTATAAATTTGGAAGTGATTTCTTGGTTTGATGCTACTTCTACAAAAGTATAATGTACATTAAATTTACACATGTGTCTAGTTTTGCAAGTTTGTTTACATTAATATTCTATGTAGGTGAATGCACCGATAATAATGGTGGATGTGACCAGCTATGTGTTGGAGACCCCTCTGGACACCGATGTCTGTGTACTCATGGAAGTATTCTATCGTCCGATGGGAAAACATGTTCACCAGGTACGGTTGAATGGGTAACTGCGTTAAAGTTATAACATATTATTATACATCTGTCACCCGTAACGCCATAGGTAACAGCGTGCCGTAATTTTGCGGTATTTACAGGGTATTTTCATCCTACCATATAAAAAAATGCGAATTCCAAATATGGAATGATTACGCGCGTAAGCGTCCACTAATAATAAAAACAAACATGGCTGCCACCAGAGTTTGACCGGACTCCACACAAAGTAGTGTTGCGCGTCGGTCGATACTCCCGCTGTACTGTCTTCGTGCATACTTTGAGGTATCCTCGTAATAACCTCATACTAACATATGTATACTATCTAATACGGTACGAAATCAGTAATTAACGTTAATGTTTGCTTGAATATGAACAACCTAAATTTGCTAATGAGCCAAATTATTCGCTACCAACAAATGTCGTATGTGTATTAGTATAAATGTAATTTAAAAGTGTTATTTCTGGCAGAATCAAAGATTGCAGGAACCGAAAGATGGATTTTAATCAAAAAAGTTTCAAGTCGTTTGACATTTTATTTACAAATTCAGATTTAACAATATTTTAATCCGGCCCGAATCCCAATCATCCCAAGTACATTATGGGTATTTCGGGAAAGGAGGTCCGGAAGGTTCCCTATCTCTTCTAGCTAAGTTTTGATTTCAAAACCAGGTAACATTTTCATCAAATGACTTCAAAAGCTGACCGGCCATATCAAGCCTCGCGTGAATGAACATGTAAAAGATAGTTGATCAATAAATCCCATTACCAGAATTCTCCGCATGTCACTTCATCAAACTTGTTATCTGTTTTTGTAGATAGTCATTTCCTACCGGGACACCATCTAGTGTATTCTACCAGTGACAGCATCTGCAGTTTACCAGTACATTACGCAACTTTGAGTGACGTCATACACGCAGAATGTTTCATTACGGGTGTTACTGCAAAGTATATGGATTACGATTATCACAATGACATGTTGTATTACTTTGATAACGTCAGTAAACATATTCAACGATTGAAACTACGAGAAGGGGAGAATCCAGCGACCATTGTCTCTAATGTGCCTAACACACGGGGTAAGTTTTCTTCGCTATTTAATACTCGAAAATGCCGCAATGACAGCAATATGTTAATGAATATTCACTACTGTCCAATTTATTTCGCGTATTTTACAATTATTTGATATATTTGAAATATCTTGAAGAGGAATAAGTTTAAGTATTTTGAACATGTTTAATTTTAAAAATAAAATCTTTGTTTTGGTAGCAAACATGCAAGTATTCAAAAAAATTTTTTTTTTATATTACGATAAATCACATCCTTAGGTTTTTGTATCAAAGTGCAGTATAAAAGAACGGTGGTCGTATTGGACTCGTAGCGACGTACACAACGCGTGTAAAATACGTTTGCTTACATGGAATTAGAACACGCGCTGCTGACACCTGTCCTCAGTATTATCTACATTTCTTATTTGAAATAGTAATATTGAATTCCATCAAGTGTATGCTCTTACTATACCAAGTGCATTTTTACTTCAATCAAAACCCATAATAGTATAACATATACATAAATAATATTTGTCCGAATAATTACATTGGTTTTCCTTTGACTGTGTGCATTATATACAGGTATAGCTGTGAATTGGATGGAGGGAACTCTCTACTGGATTAATTCACAAGCGATATTTGTCTCATCTGTTACCGGGGATTATGTAAATCCCGTGATCACTGATAATATAGACCAACCAAGAGGAATAGTCGTGCACCCAGAGAAAAAGTAAGAAAATTAAAACTATATGTAAAACGATGAAGGATGCTAAGGTACATAGTATAGGCAATATTTTGTGATCGTTGTCCGAAATAACTATTCGGGCAATGGTCCTTCTTTAGTAGCATATGAAAATGTATATAAATATATAAAAATATACGTAATTTTGATCGATTATCAAGAAGATATATACGTGGTACGATGCATTCTAGTAATCCCCACTAAATGCCAACAACGGCCACTGAACCACATAATCTAAACTCTCTATTATGCTCCATCAATCCTTTGAGTCGTAGTCGTCACCTGCGCGTGCGTCAGATGGCCATAGCGTGTCATTGTTTACAAACAAGCGTCTACCCACGTCCCTTTGCGTTTTTAGCGTGTGTTGTTATCGTCGCTTGGGACTCAAATCCCGCGCATGCGCAGGTGACGACTCTCCCGTTTTAACTTCCATGACACCCCCATTGTTAGAAATACCTACTGTGCTAAAACACCAGTGTATATACACATTTGAATATAACCTTATTACTCATGACTCACTATACTATACATCAGGGCCACGTGCATGTATATTGATTCTTATTTTTATGTTCTAGCAACATGAGTAAAACGTGTTGTCTTGTAACTTAGACACTTTTTAAAAGTTACTGAGCTACTGTAACAACTTATATATCATCTGAAAGCTTATATATAGATGAGTATATAACATAGATTAAAGGGCGGCAGTCGTCGTGCCGCGTCCTGTTCGATATGGGACTCATAGCGACGTATACAACGCGTGTAAAATACATTGTTTATTTACATGAAATTCGAACACGCGCTGCGCGACGACCACCGCGCTTTAAGTTCCAGAAGTTCCGTGCTAACACTTTACGCGATCACTAATTGAGCCAAAATGTCAAACCCCACTTTTACAAAACATTTATTGACTTTTCAATAGGTTGTTGTTTTGGGCTGACAGTGGAAGCCTGCCAAGAATCGAGAAATCAAGTCTTACTGGCCGACAAAGAAAAGCATTTATAACATCCGATCTAGTATCGCCAACGACATTGACAATTGACCATTCAAAGGACAGGTAAACAATAATAATATTATTAATTACAATGTATGCTAATGATTAAATTGTTGCCATATAATCAATACAACCTATAATTGCAGTAAATGTGTATTTTAATAGACTATACTGGATAGATGCGGGGAGTTCCAGGCTAGAATCTATCGGTTTAGATGGACAGAGTCGAAGCATCGTTCTATCTGATTTGAATATACAAACACAGCTAACAGGGCTTGCCATATTCCAGGTATTCTTGCACAAGTTGCATTATTTCTTTGTGCATGTTCGATTCTTCGTAACATCAACGTTAACGATGCATTATGGGCGAACGCGTTTTTTTCTTTTACGTTGTCGCTGTTTGATACTGCGTGTTTATGGTCAAATTGAATTGTAATATTTCGTAAACTAAAAATGGTGCCTTTTGGAGCACATACAATCTTATTCGTTCGATGAAAATGGAACTAGCGCACATGCTTATTAGCGATCGTCATTGTTCCATCGAATGAATACTTAGCTGCAAGAACAACATGTTAGTTGAACTTATGATAATATTTTAGTGTATTCGTAGACATACAAACAATAATATTGAAAAGTTTTCACCAATATTGCATCTTTAAAGACGTTAGAGCTGAATTCAAGTTTCAATGTCATGTTTATCATATTTTCATTATTATGAGTTCATACCATCATGATACCGAAAATTGAGCTCACTGGACAATTTTTTTACATTGGCCCTATGGCGAGATTTTTTTTCATATTCATATTTTTAAATGTTGCTTGGTGATATTGCATCATTATTAACATGACTCCTAATATTGTTAAAACATTTCCAAAAAAAATTGCATCCAATTTCACGGTGATTATAATTTTCCATCATATACATGGCATACATGCGCAGTAATATGCTCAGTAGTGCAAAATTTGAATGTAATTCCCATGATGCATTGCATATATGTGCAGTAATATGCTCAGTAGTGCAAAATTTGAATGTAATTCCCACAATGCATTGCATACATACGCAGTAATATGCTCACCAATGCAAAATTTGAATTCAGATCGAACTGACTTAGGTATAAGTTAGTGGAAGTGTTTTAAATATTTTAACTATTTCCAGGATCATTTGTATTGGACTCACTATACCTCGCAGCAACTACTAATGTATGACCACTTCGGAGAAAATTACGTCGACGTAAAATCACTGAATGAACCTGCCATTTCACTAATGGTGTACGATAAAACAAAACAGCGTTTGTCGACAGACAGTAAGTACTGCAAGATAGTACATAGGAGAATTCGACGACCATTGCTCTTTAATTATATAATGCACGACCTTTGGTGGATATTGTCTCTACAATTTGCTGTATAAGATCTTAGATGTCAATGGCCGCAGAGATCTCGCTGAGAGCGAGAGTGTCGCGAGATTTGTTAATTGCCCCCTCAATGGTTACCAACCTATTCCGTCATCACATGAACTGTTAAACTGTTATATAGTTATATTGATCAGAAGAAAAAAAAAACAGTGGACGCAATAGCGGGGAGAATTTGTACTATTTGAGGTACTATTTGAGGAGCATGAAGTCTCGTGGCTCTCGATGAAATCTCTGCGGCCATTTTTGTCTAAGGTCTGCTGTATATTATATTATAGGCGATTGCCATTCTCAAAATGGTGGATGTGTTGAATTATGTATACCCACTGACGATGGTGCAGAGTGTCTTTGTAGTGAAATACCTGGCGACCCTAACTGTGTTTCAGGTACGTTAACTGTTGTAGTTATCTTGAAAAAAAAATCGGCAATTAAAAGTTGATGTTCTATGATAATGTTGATGAGCATTGAACTTCGAAGCATTTGCGAGTATTTCGCAGCTACTAACGGAATATGAAGCTAATTACGAACAATAGTTAATAAAAACGAAATTAAAAATAGCAAATTATTCTTAATTATAGTGTTACTACATACAATTAATACGATGCATTTTCATATACAGTTATTCGATGTCCAATGCATATACTTCACGGCAAAATGTCTCTTAGTTGCGTGAATACTCCTGGCAATAAATGCTATGTACGCTGTGATAACTACTTCATACCAATCACCGCAGAACCGTCATTATGTCAGTCCGACGGTGAATGGAACATCGATACCGACACATTGTGCAAGTTGGGTACGTATTAATTATCTCAATACCAAATACTAAATACCCAATATAGATGATATACATTTTATGTAAGTCGCGCCCTCTAGCCATGAAACGCACCTGTGTCGTAAGTGAGTGACACGCAAACAAAAATCGACAAATCAATTAACAAACCCAGCCCACCGGAGTTGCGCGGACTTGGCCTTCGGGTCACGTCAATAGGAGCGCGCCCTCCTTACCGATTTTCTGGATCCGCCAATGTGAGCAAACCACTGCAGATGGCGATCAATTTTTGTTTTTGCCCGAGGTACGAAATATTATTTTCGCCGATTCCACTTTAAACCCCTGCTGTTCGTTCGAGGTCTACTTCTAAACATCATGGCGACAAACGTGATGCCGTATACTAGTATTTAATCATGGACAGCACAGTGGGTCTCATACTATATGCTGTCTATGATTTAACCATGTGTTGCATAATTAAAAAAAAGACATCATCTCACCAGATCAGATATCCAAGCTTCCCCCGTCTGTTTCTCTGCTTCGCCAGTAGTAACATTATTTTTCGGTAGAAGCGAAGCGGAGACACAGGCGGAGGAAGCTGGGACACAGGTCATATTCAGTCAATTCAACCCCAGTGAATCACATAATACCTGCTTATATACTCGCTCTCTTCAAGTACCTTGATTAGTGGCAGGGCGGGTATGAACTGTAAGATATGTTCCCACACAGTGCAAATAATTAAAGCGAAGAATCGTCACCTGCGCATGCGTCATATGGCCATAGCGTGGCATTGTTTAAAAAAAAACAAGCGTCTACCCATGAGCCTTTGCGTTTTTTGCGTGTGTTGTTATCGTCGCTTGGGTCCCAATTCCCGCGTGGCTCAGGTGATGACACTCCCGCTTTAAAGCACCAGTCGTCACCAAGCGCACGTTTCGCGTGAAAAAAACACCACGCGTTGCATACGTTTCTCCCAGAGAACACGGCGCGGAGTGGCGACTGTGGCGTTTCAATACACTGATGCATCATGGTTATTAAGTACTTTATTCATGCGTAATTCTAGATGCTGCGATGGACCATTTTATGTTGGTGGCTGACTCCCAGGGCCTGATATATCACGTGAATACGCTGTCACCGTCAGAACGTCACATTCCACTACCACTCAGTGACATAAACAACCCAATTGCTGTAGATTACGACCCGGTAGAAAATAAACTATACTGGACTGATTATGGTCTCAATACAGTCAACAGAGCTAATATGGATGGCACGGAACGAGAAATCATTGCGTCAATGGACATCGAAGGTAGATACTACAACCGGGGACAGATTAGCGTGTGCGTCATATGTGCGCTGCGAGTCTGGAGACGCGCGTCACGTACAAGTTGTCATTAACGTACAAGTTGTCGCATACTGTCGCTGTGTGTTGTTATTTACCGCCACGTCTCATTTCGGTGTCAGCACTTTCCAAAATAACAAATTTCATTGGAATTTAAACTTGTGCAATGTGTCACCACATCGACTCGGGTACAACATAAAAAAACAACGTCCTTGAATAGTCCCTACAGCGAAAAAGTGTCTTTGGTGCGTATACGTGATAAGCGTTCTCACAGCGAACACGTGCACGAAACGGTCACACTATTCTGTTCTCTATTTACATTCTGACCTATTGATTACATGTAATTTATCATCTAATTAATTCATTAATTTTCTTTAGTATATTATTTTTTTTTCTTTAGGGAGATTATTATTTGATTTAATTCTTCTTACCCTATTTCTACTCATCACTTACTATACGTTTCACTTGTTATTTGCATATTGCTTATTTTGTGATTTGTTCTCGTGTATTATGTGTTGAAACAATAAATTATATTAAATTATAGATGAAGCGATACTTTAATCCGCTATCAGGCAGTTTAGTCTACTTTCAACGTTTCAAACTTTTTAGCATACCACAGTTAATTGAATGTGCAATAATGTTTTCGGTGTCAATACAACTCAGGTTTGTTTTGTTTCTATTCTAGGAATTACCGGCTTAGCTCTAGATGTAGTTAATCGCAAAGTGTATTGGACACATGTCGGAACGTCACGAATTGAGTACAGTAACTTAGATGGTTCGGAAGTGCAGTCTGTTATTACTACTGGACTTGGACAACCTGTTTCTATTGTTGTGGATACACACGGAAGGTGAAATACACAATCCGTTGTAACGAAACACTGCGCATTGCGATCCGGGATTGCGATACGATTTGGATTGATTTGGCATTTCTGTGTAAGCAAAGAAACTGCTAAAACTAATGATAGGGAGGAACAGTCAACAATTGACTGTGTAATAGCGAACACACACACGAGTTTAGGAATTTGGATTGATAAATAGGCGCGTGCCATGTGGTGTGCAAAATGTCGTTGAACTTTGAAACTGAGCAAAGTTGGGGTTTTGATCATGTAATGGGATGAGTAATAATTATAAATAATATTAAAATAATGCCTATGGGCCACACGCCCCCAGAACGTTATTTCACGCAGTAAATTCACTAACGGGTGTGACGACGGTCGCGTACGTATCGAGGGTGGTGGTCGTCGCGCAGCGCGTGTTCGAATTTCATGTAAACAAACAATGTATTTTACACGCGTTGTGTACGTCGCTATGAGTCCCATATCGAACAGGATACGGCGCGATGACCATAACCCTTTGGTTAACGTTCTAGGCCAAATGATACGCTCCAATTTACCACCAGGTTGACGATTAGGCAGAAACTATTTTTGTGGATGTTATCTTTATTCAACATAGATATCCAAACTTCCGTGATTTCACGAACTTCAATAACAAAGACGAATACATTAATACCTAAAATAGATTTTTATCCCAAGGGAACACTACTATTAGATAATAAAATACATATGGACTTGTTAACTGACGGTAAATCCCCTAATGTGAGCCCGAATGGAATTCGCCGTTAGTTAGCAAGCCCCCGTGACAAAGTATATTTCAATAATTATACTGCTAAACAATTGTCTTAACCATCTCTATAGCCATATATACTGGTCAGTTACCGGCACTAACGCAAAGATAGAGCGGTCCAATCTGGATGGAAGTGGTAGAGGGGACCTAGTAACGACGGATATTGTAGTACCAGCTGGTTTAGCCCTTGATATGAAAGGTGCGTTATTATCGTGTTTTCAAATCTGTACTTGTACAGCCGCATGCATTCTCGCATACGGAAAGTTCCGTTGAACTGGAAACAAAAATTTGACACAAAATGGCAAACATCTTAATACTATTATATAATTCTTATTTCTGAAAACAAAACAATAATATTTTATTTTTATTTTTTATGTTTCAGAAAACAAATTATATTGGGCTGATATACATTTGAAGAAAATTGAAACATTTAATCTGGCGTCCAACGACCGTCATATTTTGGTGTCATCGTCGATTGGTCTTCCGTTTGCTCTAGGCGTGTCTGATCAATACATTTACTGGTCAGATTGGACGACTTTATCGGTACACAGAGCTGATAAGTACACGGGTCTCAATATTTTTGAAGTTGGACAAATTGATTTCAACCGGCCAAATGGTATATGTATGTTCATAGCTCCCCCATCCACAGGTGGGTATTTTCTAAGTTGCGCCCTCCGGCGACAAGGCGCTTCTGTGTCTCGCCCTCTGGCGACAAGGCGATTCTGTGACGTCTATAGACGACTTTCCCGGAAGTCAAAGATACGGCGTTTCGTTTTGGGGTGTAACGTAAACTTGCACGCGTGATATTGTGCTTCTGGGTGTAACAATCGACGTCACAACAATAAAATTCCCTTCTATTGACTATAAACAAACTGACATGTTTGTTTTTTCAGCCTTGACAAAGCAGGAGACTTTTTACAGCCCAGTCTCGCTACTTCCGGGAAAGTCATCTATATACCACTTTCCCGGAAGTAGAAAATACGGCGTTTCGCAAGCGCGCGCATACCGTTTTGGGGTGTAAACGTAAACTTGCACGCGTGACATTGTGCTTGCTGGTGTACCAATCGACCCCGGCAATCGACGTCACAAAAATAAAATTCCCTTCTATCGAATATTAGCAAAAATGACATGTTTGTATTTCCCGCTATGACAAAGCAGGGGTATTTCTGAACCCTAGTCTCGCTACTTCCGGGAGTGAAAGGAAGGCTGATAACACAGTGAAATTGTTTGGGAGGTTTATATGACACTCTGTGCTATGAGTTATAAACACTTCACTCTTTGACTCTTTGTTCCTATAGGTAGCACGACTCCACCACGTGATATCCGAGATATCACCACGACATCACCACGTGATATTCCGCCACCCACTGCTGGATATAATGAAGCAAGTTCCATGCCGATGATTATTGGTGGCGCTGGTGCTGGCATTGTTCTTCTCATAATAGTCATTATTGTCGTCGTAGCCATACGCCGAAGGTAAATTACATAGTAACCTCTCCCAAACCTGTATGATATAGACATGGGGTGTATAATATACGTACTTGATCATATGGGAGTAATATTAGTTATATATGTTCAAGGTGTATATTGTGTAAGTGTCAGGTCGAGTTAATCTTATAGACCGTTATTTAAAGTGTTCGGGTGGTGGTAATTTAAATAAGTTTATTTATAACTTCTCTCATGACTTCAAGTTCCGAATTTCTAAACATGACCTCTAAGGTAGCGAATAGATGTATTGTAAGGGACGACGTCAAAAGATCGGTGTCGGATAAAAAACTTATTTCCTTTAGTTTGGGGGTGGGGGTTTTAACCTTAAAAAGTTTCCATCCTACAAAAACGATTTTAATTTTTATTGAAGTCAAAAAAATCATGGAGGATTTGTAGTTCGTTTTTATTCTATCCAATCATGGACAGAAATAACCGAAAAGGGAAAAAAAAACAGAAAAATGGTTTGGTTCGAGTATAAATCTGTGCGTCAAATGAGGTGCATTTGTAAAATCTGTTTACACCTACCCGACAACCAACTGCTATGCAATACTACCGTCCGATTATCAATTTGTATTTAATGGTGAACGTAGTCTGACGCCATGACCAATATTTATCAATTAAGTTTCAGTGGGGGGTAGGGGGGTTTGGAAAAAACTAAAGGAATTAAGTTTTTTATCCGACATCGACCTTTTGACGTCGTCCCTAACAGATGTATTATTCCGTGTTAAAACTAAATACTTTCAACTAAGTTTGTTTTTAATCGCTACTGATATATAAAAACAACTCTCGCGTAAAAATGTTCTGTGACAGAAAAACTAACACAATTGTAATCGTGTCGCACGACACGACAGTTTTAATCATGACGGACGTGACAAATCTAACATATCTGTGACAGAAACAGTTGACAGTTAAATTCAACTAGATACGTTTGCAATCGCGACTGATAATTAAATTCAACAATTTGTATTAAATATTGTGTGGCAGAACAGTTACCAGAATATATTACGGTAACATATTTTGGCATAATCGTGACGAAATATGGTAAATGGTGGTTCACATTCGAAGTGTTAGCTCAATAAAAATATATATTTTACTTATCTGAAATACCGTCGACTTCAGAAAACCTTTGCAATGTGAATAGTTACGTAATATGATTGGATATAAGAATTTTAATGTAAATTTACAATAGTAATCAACTTAATCTGAGAGTTTTGAGCTAGCAAGTTGCTCAGGCGAGAGACTGCAGAGAATCGATCGTCAGATGTCAACAGTTCTTTTGGCGCCAAATGTGTGAGTTATTCGCTTCACTTTAAACAAGTGATGAGAGACTCTCATATTTGGCGGTAACATTCGAGGGCACAGATGTATCCTGTGTGGTGAAACCGCTTGCTCGTCAACCTATTGTTTCAGTCGAGTCCGCTAGTGTGGGTCTTTTCGTACAGTTACGTAAAAAATGCTACAATTAACGACGCGATGAACATTCTGGGCTAGTACTATTGTCTAATTCTGGGGAGTAGAGGACTTTTTTGATGGGTGACGTTCCAATAAGGATTTTCTATTAGAACAGAGCATGTTCTATATTCATCAAAAAAAACTAAGTTGTTATGTTTCTATATACACAACAGACTCGAAACAAAGGAAACCGTTTGATCCAAGCGACCTGTGTTCTTGAAAATCGAAATCGTATCGCCCATGCGGTTCTGAGCGAAAAAAACGTCGAGGCCAAAAACGACAGATTTTCGCCCAATCTTCAATGATTTTTTGGTAATATCATTACTTCAATCCAGCGGTTAGATAGATTTTTTATTACAGACTCCCGGGAACCGAAATTGGCGATGAAAATCACTCGAAAAATCGGCGATAATAGCCAACTTGAAGGGGGCGAGGGACTGATTTT